TGAGCGGGATCAGCAGGGTAGAGACAGTGTAGACAGTCATCGACGTGAGAGGGATCAGCAGGGTAGAGACAGTGTAGACAGTCTTCCACGTGTGCAGGATCAGCAGGGTAGAGACAGTGTAGACAGTCATCGACGTGTGCAGGATCAGCAGGGTAGAGACGCTGTAGACAGTCTTCCACGTGAGCGGGATCAGCAGGGTAGAGACAGTGTAGACAGTCATCGACGTGAGAGGGATCAGCAGGGTAGAGACACTGTAGACAGTCATCGACGTGAGAGGGATCAGCAGGGTAGAGACACTGTAGACAGTCTTCCACGTGAGTGGGATCAGCAGGGTAGAGACAGTGTAGACAGTCTTCCACATGAGTGGGATCAGCAGGGTAGAGACAGTGTAGACAGTCTTCCACATGAGCGGGATCAGCAGGGTAGAGACAGTGTAGACAGTCTTCCACATGAGCGGGATCAGCAGGGTAGAGACAGTGTAGACAGTCTTCCACGTGTGCAGGATCAGCAGGGTAGAGACACTGTAGACAGTCTTCCACGTGTGCAGGATCAGCAGGGTAGAGACAGTGTAGACAGTCATCGACGTGAGAGGGATCAGCAGGGTAGAGACACTGTAGACAGTCTTCCACGTGTGCAGGATCAGCAGGGTAGAGACAGTGTAGACAGTCTTCCACATGAGCGGGATCAGCAGGGTAGAGACAGTGTAGACAGTCTTCCACGTGTGCAGGATCAGCAGGGTAGAGACAGTGTAGACAGTCATCGACGTGTGCAGGATCAGCAGGGTAGAGACGCTGTAGACAGTCTTCCACGTGAGCGGGATCAGCAGGGTCCCCATCGTGTTGTCAAATTTGCCTCATGCTCTCACACTGGAGAAATAACAGGCAGTGAATTGGGAATCGGCCAGGCCTTCATGATTATAGGAAACTTCACTCAGGTGAACATTTCACCCCATCCAAGTGTAAGAAATTATACTGACACTGCTACTATTGAAACTTTACCTCACCCAAGTGTTGGAAACGACACTGACAACATTAGATTTTAGTTTCTGGAATGTGTCTGGTCTGATCTCCAAACTAAATGATTTTAGTTTTATGAATTTTGTTATCTCATTTGATATCAGTGGTTTAACTGAAACTTGGTTACCCGATATAGATTGAAATACTGTTTTCAGGGAATTTGAAACAAGGTCTCAAAGTTCGGAAGACTGTCAGGTAGTGTTATAGTTCTGATCAGAAAAAAAACTTTCTAGATATACAAAATGGACAGAGATATGTGAAAGCGGCATTTTCATACTGTTCGATAAAGATACGTATGTCTGGTTCACAAAAAGATATTGTATACTCATATGTTTATATACACCCTGGATTTTCGACTTGGTATAATGATCCATCGCGTCAGTGTAAAAATGGGATATTATTATTTCAAGACAGCTTATTAGACCAACTGAATAAATGTGAGAATGTATATATTTTGTTTGGAGCTGATTTTAACCCAAGAACAGATATCGACGATTTTGTTGAAGATGACATGGAGATGAGTTCTAGAGCGTCATGATAATTCTACATTTTGCTAGTTCACTTTACATTAAAGCGCTACTCTGTTGACAGCTTGGTGACAGGTTTGCTAAATGCTTGTTTGAAATGTGCAGTGTTTTTAATATTCATATCATGACTGGAAGATGCTGTACAGATTCTAAAATTGGGGATTAGACTTTTATTGGCTCGCCGGGAGCGAGCGTTTCAGACTATGTATACCTATTTGACATTTGTAATAATGTTGAAATTCACGCTTCGAAACTCGACATCTTCCTGTCACGATGTGTCTCAGCACACCATGTGTAACACAAGAGACGTGTAACACATATACGAATGCTTCATTCAATTTCGTATGAAAAGAAGAGAAATGGAAAGTCTTCATAGGAACATTATCATCAAATGATGTTGTAGATTTTTTTACAAAAGCAGTAAATGCAGCATTTTCTAGTATTAATGATCGTGTGCAATACATTACTGAAGCTTTATGTATAGCTGTTGATAATATGAAGAAAAGGTCTGGCAATACTAACTACATAGAGCCGTTGTGTAATATCGACTTTAATGAGGGAAAGATGCAGATGTTTAAATACATTTCGGAGAAAGAAAGATTTGAAAACTACCTCAGTGTTCGTAATCAATACAATGAAACGTGTAGACGTATTATGAAAAAAGGCTTCCCTTTTTGGAACAACATATTGACGATTCGAAAGCATTTTGGACAACAATAATTATTAAAGATCTTGGGGAAATACGGCACAAGCAGAATATTATTTATATTAAGAATTGGTATGAGCATTTTAAGGAACTTTCTTCAACACCAGATGGAGAAGAATATTTTTAAGCAAGGATACATACTGAGTTCTTTTCTATTTTCATTCTTTATTAAGGTATACTGAACCGCAAAAGAAACGTCACCACAAGATCCATTGCATGAAAAGTTGTAAGTTAAATATCTGGGTAATTTTTGTCAAAGTTTCTAAAATTTAACATTACCTTGTCCGGAAAAATTAAATTTGATGATAAAAAACAAAGCAGATGACAATAAAACCGATCGCCCGAACGCATCACGGCAACGGCCATGGTAACCCGAGTTTCCCTGCAAATTGAAATGCACATGCGTTCCCCCAATTCTTGCCCTATAAAACTCAACCCAGATCGGATAATTTTCATTCGGTATTGAATTGTACCACATGCCAAGATTGACAAAAACCATGCCCAGCGAAACCATGCCATTGGACGATTGCATGCTGGAAAACCGCCCGGCAAGCAGCCAATGCCTTTCAAGTCTACGTAAGGATCATATACAGGCTCCAGCACCGGTACCAGACCCCCAACACTTCAGATGACCGACCAAGTAGTTGAAGACCAAGGGTCGCCACCCGACGTCAGGATCGTCAGATTGTTCGAGAGCATCTTCAAGATCGCTTTGTTACAGCTGCGGAAACTGCTCGACGGACCATGGGGACACACCAGCGACACATTAGTGCGGACACCGTGCGTCGACGATTGACGAGCAGCTACCTCCACTGTCACAGGCCACAACGAATTCGAAGACCCATTCTGACTCCACGTCATCGCCGAGCCGTTACTGTATCTCAACAACAGATGGCAGAGAGAAAGAGAGAGTCTGGCGACGCCGTGGGAAACGTTATTCGAATGCTAGTGTGTTGAGAGAGACTCGTGGGGTTATCCGAGCATCATGGTGTGGGGTGGAATTGGTCTTGCACAGAGGGTCGGCCCTGTGGTCTTCCAGAACATCGGTGCAGGGAGAGGCAATGGTGTCACAGCAGCTCGGTACATTGATCAAGTCTTCAGACCACACGCCATACCTCATTTGGCACTTCGCCGCAACCACGAGTTTCAGCATAATAACGCCCGTGCCCACACTGTGAGAGCAACAAATGACTTCCTCCTTCCTGAATGGCATCAGAACCATACAGTGGCCTCCCCTCAGTCCCGATTTAAATCCCAATGAGCCCCTATGGGACGAGATTCAAAGACGGCTGAATGACGTCCGACCAAGGTCGACAACTGCAGCTGAACTGCGTCAGGCGTTTCTCAGAGTGTGGGCTCAAGTGCCTATGGCCTTCATCAATGGCCTCATCCATTCCATGTATCGACGTTGCACGGCAGTCATCAATGCACATGGCGGACACACGAGATACTGACTTGTGATGCCATTTTCTCAGAGACTAGTGTTGTGTTTCACTTTAAGAACATTTGACACTTTAATTTCAACCTTGATGATCAGTTTTGTCAAGTTTCATCTTTGTAATATGTCTCAAAGTATGTTTACAGTGTTTGGACAAATAAGGTTTCTCATACATCTATCCATGGTGACGTTTCTTTTGCTGTTCAGTATATTAGCTTCATCCCGAAACAGTAAAGATATTTCTCCTTTTATTTGACGATTATATAGTTATGTTTGCAAGCACAATACCTGGTCTACAAAAACAACTTAATGAATTGGAAAATTATTGTCAAAAATGGGGTTTGTCGGCAAACCTCAATAAAACCAAAACTATAGTTTGCAAGAAAGATGGCACTCTATCTTAATACCTAGGTGTGTATTTTACAAACAGCGTGTCATGCACTTTCCAGGAAAATACTGCTGCAAAATATTAAAACAATTGGGGATGCTTCGTACACATTTAAAAAAATATATTCGATACAAATATAAGTACAATTTTACTATTACAAACCAACCGATTCCAAACAATACCTCAATTACAATTCTTGTCATTTCTCATTTAACATGTCAATCGAGACTGTTCGTTTCGCAAAGCCATTTTTGTTACTTGACCAGCGAGTATTCAACAGCGGTCTCGTAGATTCTAGGAAGATGTTCTTATGTTGAAGTTGATTTTGTATATAATCGTATCCAAATGTATGATAAAGAATTATATTGACCCTTAATAATTTTTGTTAATTTTGTTTATTTGTTTTAAGATTGGCAAACCTAGAACTACTTTTAAGTAGTAATTACAAGGGGTGGTGAAACGTCCCTGCGTGTTAGGTTGGGATTTTTAAAAATTTGTTATGAAATAATTATTTTCCCGGTAAACAACTACGTCAAAAGTATATACAAAATAAGATATTCCATGTGAGAGAAGTGGCTTGTGAGTTGCTCCCCACAGATTTAGCTGGATAACACAGATAGACGCAGCGACAGAAGGATGGCATCCAAAAGTGGGACATATTTTACAGACAGTCGGTATTGGGACAAAAGGTATAGATAATCGACGTGAGGATTGTGAGAACATGCGGGGAATACCAAACTTAATACAATTGTTCATAAAGTAGACTAAAAATATTTTTAAAGCTTGTACGTTTTATCATCCTTAAAAAGGCTGTACATTCTGTTGATATCTCATAAGAAATAAATGACTCGTGGTCGTTGTTTTTCGTACAATAAAACACTGCAGGGAGAATAATGCAGTCGGGACTGCGCCCCTCATGGTTTATTCTCCCTGCAGTGTTTTATTGTACGATACACAGCAACACTGTGTATGTCTAATAAAGAAGTTGTTATCAATAATACTCCTTGTCATGCTTACATCCCATTTCTCAATGCCTATAAACACTCATAGGTCAACTGTATTTGTTTATCAAATAAATAAATAAATAAATAAATAAATAAATAAATAAATAAATAAATAAATAAATAAATAAATAAATAAATAAATAAATAAATAAATAAATAAATAAATAAATAAAATAAATAAATTTGTCTAATTAATAAATAAATAAATAAATGATCAAACACGTCGTAATATCAACCTCATACCTTTCTAACATATTTTATTGATCTCGCAATGTAATGGAAAATCTATTCATTGTCCATTATGGTCCCTTAAAGTACACTCTAGAAATCAATACATTCAACCACACTACAGGCTAGCAAGACCCGGAGAGCGTCCTCAGTTTACAACACCTTTATTGCGGACGGTTGTAATCGGTCTCATTCTTCAATGAATACTTTCAGGTACTCTTTGCGTGATCTTGTATCAATGTTAGTGTGTTCACATTCAGATGTAGTCATGCAAGTAAAAGTTTTTCATAAAGCTGATTATGTTTCCCTCAAGGGCATTTTTCAGAGACAACGCAGTAAACTGACTGTAATAGTTCAGTGGAAATTGGACTTTTACAGTCAGGAAGATGCTCAAACGTTAATTGAGGTGTTTTCGCATTTATATTTAGTTTCATGGTTTGGTTCTAAATATACGCATATTTCTGTTATAAACACTGGCGTTTGTCTACTTTATATTAACCTATGTAGCCTTAATCAATTTACTGCACCAGCGTCGGCAGTATTTCAGGCATATTGTTACCAATCTTTAGTAATGGCGTGTTTCATTTATTTTTACTCAATTTCGTTTAATTGAACTTGATCTTGATATTATTTTATAATCCAACATAACAATTCTGAAATGTTTGGTAATGTTGTATTTTCGATTATCATTAAATGATTAATACATGTGGTATCCTATTTCACTCACTCGCATTAAACATGTCATCACTTGTCATATACACGGGTATTGAACTCAAAAACCAATTTAAAACTTCGGGATAGGTTCTTTGCTTGACATGGCTCCTGTACCAAGTCCTGCCTATACTTCGGGATAGGTTCTTTCTGCCATGGCTCCTGTATCAAGATGTGCCTATATTTCTGCATACTAGGTTTTTTTCTTGACATGACTTCTGTTTCAAGTCGTGCCTATACTTCGAGATAGGTTCTTGGCTTGACATGGCTCCTGTATCAAGTCGTGCCTATATTTCGGGATAGGGTCTTTGCTTGACATGGCTCCTGTATCAAGTCGTGCCTATTCTTCGGGATAGGTTCTTGCTGCCATGGCTCCTGTATCAAGTTGTGCCTATATTTCTGCATAGGTTTTTTTTCTTGACATGACTTCTGTTTCAAGTCGTGCCTATACTTCGGGATAGGTTCTTTGCTTGACATGGCTCCTGTATCAAGTCGTGCCTATACTTCGGGATATGTTCTTGGCTTGACATGGCTCCTGTATCAAGTCGTGCCTATACTTCGGGATAGGTACTTGCTGCCATGGCTCCTGTATTAAGTCGTGTCTATACTTCGGAATAAGTTCTTTGCGTGAAATGGCTTCTGGATCAAGAAGTACCTTTTCTTCGGGGTAGATTCTTTGCTTGATGGGTTCCTCCCAACATATAACTGTAAATGCGTGCATACATAACATTACATGATTATTGGTTTCTCTGATGCGAGTGTGAGTTAGGTTTAACGCTGATCTGAGCTTAATCTTCACACGCTGAGTATTTCAGTTACACAAGGATGTGCTAGGTGTATGAGTGGAAAAAAACCGCTTGTCATAGACTATTAACAATAATGCGAAACCAATGGCGAAGGGTATGGTTCCGACATACCAATGATCCTAATGAAGACAAAACTGGGATTCGAACCCACATCCAGGGACGACTTTTGTTGCACGGTATACTCAAATGGGGTTATGTATAAACAAAAAAACAAACTAGTTTCCAAGATCATTAGAATTTTCCTGTGTCCACCGCCGTGATATTGCTTGAATATTGCTAAAAGCGGCGTAAAACTACACTCACTCACTCATTAGAAATATCTACTTAAAGCAGAGACTATTGTACAATTCCGACTACATCATAAGAAGGTGTTTTTGAATCACTACCACACAGTGATGATATACAAGTTGAAATCAGCCTGCCCAAGACTGCATAGAGTCATTTGTGAACTACGTTTTGATTATTTACCACATTTTTGTTTTTCCAGGTTTAAGAAAAACTGGCGCTCTTATGCAACAATTGCAGGTCTTCTTATAACTAGTTACCTATTTGTTTCGAAATACTGGCTATCGACTGAAGCTCCAAACAAAAATATTCAAGCTGCAAAACATGAGGATGTTCGAAACCTTGAAGCCACCAGGAAACTCAACTTTGACAGAAGCCCCATATCTGGTGTAGTAGAAAACAAAAGAGAAACCATAACCAAAAAAGCAAGACTATCTTATAAGTTCAGGGCTAAGAGAGCATTAAAACGCAAGAGAAAAGCCAGGAAACCTTCGAGGGCTGTTGTATTTGCTGGCAAAAGAAACCGAAGAAGAGAGCGCCCATTACACAGTTTCAAATATGAACGGGTCCTCCGTGAATACACGCCACGCATTGACTGGTCATATTTTAATAACAGGAAGAAAATATTGAATAATCATTCAATTTCCTTCAACATACTACCGACCTGGGTTGGTAACGAGCACCCTTACCTCATCATCATGGTGTTATCACAGACTCGGTATCACAGAACGACTATTAGACAAACTTATGGGAGTGTCGCACATGGACAAAACTGGCCTGGGAGTAATCTGACTTTGAACATAAAAATGATATTTGTATTTGGAGATACAGGGAGCAAGGCACATGAGGCCATTCTGAAGGAAGAAAGCAAAATATATGGCGATATTTTGCAAGGTAACTTTTCTGACTCTTACAAGAATCTTACACTGAAAGTTTTAACAGGATTAAAATACGTTGCGGAGTATTTTCCTGACACACAGTACGTATTAAAAGCGGATGACGACACATTCACAGATGTTGACCGTCTTGTTAGATTACTGTCGAAACTGCAGCCCGTGAACACAGTTCTTGGTTTCATTCACAAGTTTTCTGTTGTTAAAAGACGAGGCCAATGGGGCCTTTCAAGGACTGTTTACCCTTTCCCACTCTACCCTCAATATGCAGCGGGAAATACATATGTTCTGACAATGGATTATGTGAAATGTGTTCTTAAAAAGGCTAAGTTCTTTCCATATATGTTGATAGAAGATGCATTCATAACTGGCATAATGTGTGTTCTATGCAACGGTACACAATATCATGTAGAAGGTTTCACACACTGGAAGGAAAGGGTGGCTTCTCCCAAATCATTTCTGGACGGAAAAAGGATTTCCGGAAATAGAGTGAAGGACGAAATAAAACATGAGATATGGGACCAGTTATTAGATTTATATGGATAGGTTTCCTAATGCCTTATGTCACAATCTCCATCGAATGTTTGTTTTCGCTGTAAACGCTTTATGGTTCAGAGCCAAAGCGACGTTAAACTAAGTCACCCATTACCACAGTTCAGTTCGCAGCAAATGTCCCTCTGGTTTTGTAATGAAACTTTCAGCTGGTGAGTCATGTGTGGTCAGAAGACATTCCAGAGTTCCTCAACCTCTGCCGCGCTTCACACAAGGCAGTATCACATAACTATAAACAAACAAATCGGATGGCTAACAAGTGAATGAGCAATTTATTTGGCATCCTGTAATCCCCTGAAAAATCTACAATCTGGTCCACATTGACCTGCTGTCTAATGGACTGTGACGGACACTGACTGTAAACAGGACACTTATGTGGTGGAAGAGCTAGAGCAAGGGGTATTCCTGGATTTTATTTGTAGTTTCTGCGATTTTCAACCTGTAAGCGTACACTATTGTAAAGGTGTGATAATGCTATTATTGGAGGAGTAACGCGTGGTGGGTTTTGTTGTGACAATGGAGTATGATTTCTATTTTATGGGTCCACATATTAATTCATGTCGTCGTTAGTTGTCAAGTCATGTGAATTCCATACTAATGGATTATGCCTAATGTCTCTTAATTACTAGTTACTAAAAGGTTATGACTCATGTGTTTACCTCTTCAATAAAGTTTGATAGACTGTGTGAAGATGCATTATATATTAGAAGTTCAACTTTGAACGGACTACTAAATCCACTGATCAAAATAACAAATTACAAATGTTAATTTCACCCTGGGCAGTCATGCACAGAAAACTATTAATCTCCAGTTCCAAATTCTTATGCCCATATCAATCGATATATGCTCATGCTATCCGTCACTGGTTTGCAAAGTTCCGACTTCAGTGTGTAATTGAGGCCATTATATAGATTTCAGAATGTACTGGAGGCCATTATATAGATTACAGACTGTACTGGAGGCCATTATATAGATTTCAGAATGCACTGGAGGCCAGTACATAGATTTCAGAATGTACGTGTGGCCAGTATATCGATTTCAGAATGTAATGGAGGCCAGTATATAGATTTCAGAATGTAATGGAGGCCAGTATATAGATTTCAGTATGTAATGGAGTCCATAATATAGATTTCTGAACGTACTGGAGGCCAGTTTATAGATTTCAGAATGTACTGGTGGCCAGTATATATATTTCAGAATGTACTGGAGGCCAGTATATATATTTCAGAATGTACTGGAGGCCAGTATATAGATTTCAGAATGTACTGGAGGCCAGTATATAGATTTCAGAATGTACTGGTGGCCGGTATATAGATTTCAGAATGTACTGGTGGCCGGTATATAGATTTCAGAATGTACTGGAGGCCAGTATATAGATTTCAGAATGTACTGGAGGCCATGATATAGATTTCAGAATGTACTGGAGGCCAGTATATAGATTTCAGAATGTACTGGTGGCCGGTATATAGATTTCAGAATGTACTGGAGGCCAGTATATAGATTTCAGAATGTACTGGAGGCCGGTATATAGATTTCAGAATGTACTGGAGGCCAGTATATAGATTTCAGAATGTACTGGTGGCCGGTATATAGATTTCAGAACGTACTGGTGGCCGGTATATAGATTTCAGAACGTACTTGAGGCCAGTATATAAATTTCAGAATGTACTGGAGTCCAGTATATAGATTTCAGAATGTACTGGAGGCCAGTATATAGATTTCAGTATGTAATGGAGGCCAGTATATAGATTACAGTATGTAATGGAGGCCACTGAATACTTCTGAAAACTGGATAAAACAAAACTTATTACGAATTTTCTCTCTTTTAGCATCATGCATGTTATATTACGAGCCAGATGACTGAAAGCACTTGTAAATGAATTGTCGGAGGCTGGAAGACTCTCATTTGAACCATGAACGCCAATCTACATTGTAACCCATTTGGGGGACAAAACTTTCATTAATTATTTAAATCAAACGTTGGAAATGGAACTCTCGAGCACAGCGACTGTAGATTGTAGATTTCCATGTTGGAAGTTCACGTGGGGGTGAGGAAATATACTTACCATGCACAGTTACGCTTTTAAAAAGGCACAGTACATTGTTACAGGCAATGTCAAAATTCAGTAAAGTTGTTGAATAACTGAAAACGTAGTCACTTTATCATTTGTTTGATTCACTCAGTCACAATTCAATTTGCTGGGAAGTATAATTAATTTATTTGACATATTGACTGATTCTTGATAACAGCTTAGGATTAAATACTCTCCGTTGCTTCAATTGTCACCAATGCATTGGTAAGCACTGGTACAATACAAGGTACAAAAGGTACCTTAAGCATTATAAAACACAGACATAAAATTGTTACATCCCTCTCCAATACTTGTAGACCATCCCTGTGAAGTCCTGGGCCTGCCAGGCATTATGGCCTCTCCATGTCTAATACACTTATTTTAAGCTTAATAAAAGTCCAATTTGAACGGCCGGACCTTAATATTTCGCAGTAATAAATATTTATATAACAAACATCATGATTTCTTGCACACATGAAACCAATAACGAACATGCTGCACAGAGTGAGTAGCATTTTTCTTTTTTTGGACTTGTATCCTCAAATGCTTAAATGCTTTATGCACATAGAATACAGCAAACGTGTCCGTGTCATTACGTCCTATCCAATTAATATGTCATGTTGACCCACCAGAACGAAGTCATTGTAGTTAACGGAAAAGTAATAGTGAATAATTTCAATGCCATGCTACATTTTATTGATATCTCATTGTGAGAATCTGCAAGGACCGCAACAGGTGCAACACTTGTAAGACGGACAATTAAAGGTCTAGAACTACTGAGTGTTTTCATCACATTTACCACCGCGGTAATGTAGTTATAATCTGCACCAGTTGCAATGAATACTATCAGGTAAGCTTGATGTTATGTTATTTCGCCATCAGTCTGTCTTATTGAAGATTCAGATATAATGATTATTTGTCTTTCATGGTTATAGCATAACTGTCATGGAACAGCACTAGCGTAATGTTAACCAATCGCAAGCTTTCTTTGATGCGATCCATAAACATCTATGGACATCATAAAACGGAATTTAAGTAATTCTGTAGAGGGTAATGTCCGAGTAATTCTCCATTCCTTACAAATAAGAGAGAGGTGGCCCATTGTTCTCCAAGAATGGAGAGTTACAAGAATTAAACTTGAAACACATCCCTTCTTTTACACTTTGACGAAACATTATCTTGTTGAAAATATTTGAAACAACCCTCTAAACTTTGTAACCTGAATTTGTACTGTGGGGGGCGCCTTGCGTGATGCACAAAGAATACGTTCTCTGCGCTGTTGCGCGTACACCAAGCTCCCTTGCGAGCTGATATTTACAATGCATGGTACACGGCTCTTCATAATTTCGTGGGGTCCTGAACCAGTATTTTATCAATCGCTTGCACTTTCTAAATACATGCTGACGGGTCCTGAACAAGGATATATAATTTACCTGATTTTTATTCTCGTCAAAGTTATATCTAACTTCGTTATATATGAACATTGTTAACCAGGTAACCAGCTGTAACACAACATCAAATACATACCACATTTTAAGGATTTAAGGAGTATACAAATAACGTCATGTGTCGCAGTAGCTGAGGTCGACAATGAGACGTCCTAAATTCAAACTATGCGTGTTCGAATTCCGCTAGCGAGTCACTACACATGTTTCCGACACAATTTGAAATCATTCACTTGTCAAAATGTAAAAAAAACAAAAACTAGTTCCATCCATTCCAAGTGTAAATTAATTTGAATTTTTGTTCAAGACGAATGACTTCATATGAAATCTGATATTCGCAGTATTAATCTGTCCCGAAGTAGTGTAAATATCTGCACAGCTATAGGCAAAACACTTTATATGAGCCAACACTATTTAAAAGATAGTACTTTAATTTTACATTCGTCTTACCTTCCAGGATCCGGAAAAAGTGGTGCTTTGGTATCATTTTTGCATGGATTGTACTTATTGGCTTCCTGCTTGTTCCGCAACACCAAACACCCTCTGTGGGACTGGATAGAGAGATTAAAGCCTTAAATCATTTACATGTACCCGGAAAAAATGAACTACCTGTCATTCAGCCCATAGTTGTCCAAAACATGACAATTCACAACGACAGAAAAGCAGCTCCCGGAAGGTCAGACAGCTTGGACAACAGTTCAAAGTCCCAGACGCCATACAGACTGAGGGATAAGTTGGTGTATGTCCACAACAGCTCACAACACATGTCTCCATTGAAGGCCGTTGGCAAGAAAAACGCAGGTGGAAACAAAAACGGAACCAGGGGTTTACTTCCGTTTAGCTTCAAGACAGTTACACGGGAATATACGGAACTCATAAACTGGGCATATTTTACATCCAAGAGGGATATAATTTTGAATAGCCATTCATTTTCATTCAGCATACTTCCAAAACAGATAAAGAATGAACATCCTTTCCTGATCATAATGGTTTTATCCATTGCCAGATATCACAGAACAGCAATACGGCAAACATATGGCAGTGTTGCGAATGGGCAAAGGTGGCCTGGAAGTAATCTACCTTTGAATACAAAGTTGATATTTTTGTTTGGGCGGACACTCTCAGATGATTATGAAGCTGTTCTTAAAGAAGAAAGCAAAATATATGGAGATATTTTACAAGGTAACTTTGATGATACCTTTCACAATGTTACACTGAAGGTTTTATCAGGCATTAAGTACGTTGTGGAGTATTATCCTGATACACAGTACGTCTTAAAGGCGGACGACGACACTTTCACAGATGTTGATCGTCTTGTGAGATTACTGAAGAGTCTGCAACCTGTGAATTCAGTTCTTGGAAATATCATTATGTCTCCTCGTGTTCTTAGAGTGGGCAAACGGGCACTCACAGAGGATGTCTACCCTTTCGTAATGTTTCCGCGTTACGCAGCGGGTCATACCTATGTTCTGGCAATGGATTTGGGAAAATGTATTGCTGAAAAAGCCAAGTTCCTTCCATACGTCTTCATAGAGGATACATTCATAACTGGAATAATGGCCGCTGTGTGTAATGCCACGCAGTATCACGTTGATGGGTTTTCAGGTTTGGAGGAAGGTACTCCTTTCTCCATACAGTTTGTGAAAGGAAGAAAGATATCTGGCAATGGCGTGCCAGATAAACTAAAGCATAAGATTTGGAAAGCGTTGCGGAAGCTGTATCCGTGAGCATCCGTCTTGTTTATAAGCTGTCAAACACAATAAAGACGTTTGAGAACATAACCTGTTGTTTTTCATTTTGACTTAGGGTGGCTAAGTATCATAAATGACGTTAATGAAACCTATTAATAATCTGACACTCTGAGGTAAAGAGTTGCGTCCCTTAGCCGTACCAGAGTCCGAGGGTTGTGGGTTATGTCTACGGCTTGGAGGTTTACACAAAAACTAATTCATCTCCGGACGTCCTGAATAAGATGTGTTGTAGGTTGGAGAAATAAATTATATTTTAAATTATGTTTTGAAGACATGGATACAAAATGCTGTGTTTAATAAACATGAATATGCTTCCGTCGGGAAAATTCACGAATTGTCAATGTTGTGTTCAAAAGTGTTGATTTTTATGATGTTAGAAGAACATTGCAAAATCGAATCTATTTGAATGTCAAAGATTGACTTTTCCGAAGTTATATATATATATACTCTAACAAAAGAGTAGGTTGCATCCTTTACGTTATTAATGGTTTACTATTTACAGGTAGCTAGGCTGAGAGTAAGACCCCCTCCCTTGCCCCCCCCCCCCCCCCCCCCCCCCTCTCTCTCTCTCTCTCTCTCACACACACACACAGAGAAGAGAAGAGTATTGTGTAATATAAGATTTCATGGACTAAATGGACTTCATGGACTAGATTTCATTAGTCTAACAACATTGTGACAATGAAGCACGTGACTTTGGATAGCACGTGCAAGGGGTGGTATGCCTGATTTACCAATGTCACTCAGACTCGGTTGTGAGCAGACTCATATTGTGGTCATGGAACTAAATGCTCAAACACAATTTATTAAACATTTAATCATTAAGGAAGCAACAACATTGACCATGCGACGTTTTCAACGCGCTGGATGTTTACGCGCCTAAGGCATGTTGAAGGTGGGCTAATGTCAGAATATTGTTGCCCAAACGGTGCATGTTTCTCAATTTGTATCAGCAGAATGTGGGCCTAATACCATCAAACACATTACGTCGAAGATCTTCGCCTCTCTGGACCAACAACTGCAGGGCAACAACTGCAGCCCAGGAAAGATAAGTCAGAACGATGGCATTAAGAAATTGGTTGTGACCTGGTGTAAGAGTACATGCCCAGACTGTGCGAAATCTTCTGCAAATATGTCATTTGCGTGCACGACGTCCACGTATCATCCCGAACTTACTGCACGTCATTTGACGGCTCGTTGTGCCATTTGCACAACGTGTTGAGCAACGTTTCATCTTCCAAGGCGATAATGCACGTACTCATCTGCCAGGATTGTGACCCAATTCCTCCAACAGTGACACATCCATTGTCATGCCATGGCCAGCACAGTCCTGACGTTTCCCCCATTGAAGACGCCTGGGACGTCATTGGCACACGTAAACGTAACAATCCACCCACGACTCTCAATGAACTCGGTGTTGCTCTCACTGATGAGTGGAATAACATGAGTCGAGCGTATATTTGTCGACTCATCAGAAGCATTCCTCGAATACTGCGTGTACTTTGTTACCTGTCGATTCCGAAATTGATATGTTTAACAAGAAATATGTACGTAAAAGAAAAACAACCAACAAGTGGTATACAATCAACAATGTATCCTAAAATTAACTAGGTTTACAAATCCACACAAAGTACTCCACAGCAAATACGATGGCAGTACACAGGAGAGTAGTAGTACCATTTTCAATGACAGTAAATAATACGATGGCAGTACACAGGAGAGTAGTAGTACCATTTTCAATGACAGTAAATAATACGATGGCAGTACACAGGAGAGTAGTAGTACCATTTTCAATGACAGTAAATAATACGATGGCAGTACACAGGAGAGTAGTAGTACCATTTTCAATGACAGTAAATAATACGATGGCAGTACACAGGAGAGTAGTAGTACCATTTTCAATGACAGTAAATAATACGATGGCAGTACACAGGAGAGTAGTAATACCATTTTCAATGACAGTAAATAATACGATGGCAGTACACAGGAGAGTAGTAGTACCATTTTCAATGACAGTAAATAATACGATGGCAGTACACAGGAGAGTAGTAGTACCATTTTCAATGACAGTAAATAATACGATGGCAGTACACAGGAGAGTAGTAGTACCATTTTCAATGACAGTAAATAATACGATGGCAGTACACAGGAGAGTAGTAGTACCATTTTCAATGACAGTAAATAATACGATGGCAGTACACAGGAGAGTAGTAGTACCATTTTCAATGATAGTAAATAATACGATGGCAGTACACAGGAGAGTAGTAGTACCATTTTCAATGACAGTAAATAATACGATGGCAGTACACAGGAGAGTAGTAGTACCATTTTCAATGACAGTAAATAATACGATGGCAGTACACAGGAGAGTAGTAGTACCATTTTCAATGACAGTAAATAATACGATGGCAGTACACAGGAGAGTAGTAGTACCATTTTCAATGACAGTAAATAATACGATGGCAGTACACAGGAGAGTAGTAGTACCATTTTCAATGACAGTAAATAATACGATGGCAGTACACAGGAGAGTAGTAGTACCATTTTCAATGACAGTAAATAATACGATGGCAGTACACAGGAGAGTAGTAATACCATTTTCAATGACAGTAAATAATACGATGGCAGTACACAGGAGAGTAGTAGTACCATTTTCAATGACAGTAAATAATACGATGGCAGTACACAGGAGAGTAGTAGTACCATTTTCAATGACAGTAAATAATACGATGGCAGTACACAGGAGAGTAGTAGTACCATTTTCAATGACAGTAAATAATACGATGGCAGTACACAGGAGAGTAGTAGTACCATTTTCAATGACAGTAAATAATACGATGGCAGTACACAGGAGAGTAGTAGTACCATTTTCAATGATAGTAAATAATACGATGGCAGTACACAGGAGAGTAGTAGTACCATTTTCAATGACAGTAAATAATACGATGGCAGTACACAGGAGAGTAGTAGTACCATTTTCAATGACAGTAAATAATACGATGGCAGTACACAGGAGAGTAGTAGTACCATTTTCAATGACAGTAAATAATACGATGGCAGTACACAGGAGAGTAGTAGTACCATTTTCAATGACAGTAAATAATACGATGGCAGTACACAGGAGAGTAGTAGTACCATTTTCAATGACAGTAAATAATACGATGGCAGTACACAGGAGAGTAGTAGTACCATTTTCAATGACAGTAAATAATACGATGGCAGTACACAGGAGAGTAGTAATACCATTTTCAATGACAGTAAATAATACGATGGCAGTACACAGGAGAGTAGTAGTACTATTTTCAATGACAGTAAATAATACGATGGCAGTACACAGGAGAGTAGTAGTACCATTTTCAATGACAGTAAATAATACGATGGCAGTACACAGGAGAGTAGTAGTACCATTTTCAATGACAGTAAATAATACGATGGCAGTACACAGGAGAGTAGTAGTACCATTTTCAATGACAGTAAATAATACGATGGCAGTACACAGGAGAGTAGTAGTACCATTTTCAATGATAGTAAATAATACGATGGCAGTACACAGGAGAGTAGTAGTACCATTTTCAATGACAGTAAATAATACGATGGCAGTACACAGGAGAGTAGTAGTACCATTTTCAATGACAGTAAATAATACGATGGCAGTACACAGGAGAGTAGTAGTACCATTTTCAATGACAGTAAATAATACGATGGCAGTACACAGGAGAGTAGTAGTACCATTTTCAATGACAGTAAATAATACGATGGCAGTACACAGGAGAGTAGTAGTACCATTTTCAATGACAGTAAATAATACGATGGCAGTACACAGGAGAGTAGTAGTACCATTTTCAATGACAGTAAATAATACGATGGCAGTACACAGGAGAGTAGTAATACCATTTTCAATGACAGTAAATAATACGATGGCAGTACACAGGAGAGTAGTAGTACCATTTTCAATGACAGTAAATAATACGATGGCAGTACACAGGAGAGTAGTAATACCATTTTCAATGACAGTAAATAATACGATGGCAGTACACAGGAGAGTAGTAGTACCATTTTCAATGACAGTAAATAATACGATGGCAGTACACAGGAGAGTAGTAGTACCATTTTCAATGACAGTAAATAATACGATGGCAGTACACAGTGGAGTAGTAGTACCATTTTCAATGACAGTAAATAATACGATGGCAGTACACAGGAGAGTAGTAATACCATTTTCAATGACAGTAAATAATACGATGGCAGTACACAGGAGAGTAGTAATACCATTTTCAATGACAGTAAATAATATGATGGCAGTACACAGGAGAGTAGTAGTACCATTTTCAATGACAGTAAATAATACGATGGCAGTACACAGGAGAGTAGTAGTACCATTTTCAATGACAGTAAATAATACGATGGCAGTACACAGAAGAGTAGTAGTACCATTTTCAATGACAGTAAATAATACGATGGCAGTACACAGGAGAGTAGTAGTACCATTTTCAATGACAGTAAATAATACGATGGCAGTACACAGGAGAGTAGTACCATTTTCAATGACAGTAAATAATACGATGGCAGTACACAGTGGAGTAGTAATACCATTTTCAATGACAGTAAATAATACGATGGCAGTACACAGGAGAGTAGTAATACCATTTTCAATGACAGTAAATAATACGATGGCAGTACACAGGAGAGTAGTACCATTTTCAATGACAGTAAATAATACGATGGCAGTACACAGGAGAGTAGTAATACCATTTTCAATGACAGTAAATAATACGATGGCAGTACACAGGAGAGTAGTAATACCATTTTCAATGACAGTAAATAATATGATGGCAGTACACAGGAGAGTAGTAGTACCATTTTCAATGACAGTAAATAATACGATGGCAGTACACAGGAGAGTAGTAATACCATTTTCAATGACAGTAAATAATACGATGGCAGTACACAGGAGAGTAGTAATACCATTTTCAATGACAGTAAATAATATGATGGCAGTACACAGGAGAGTAGTAGTACCATTTTCAATGACAGTAAATAATACGATGGCAGTACACAGGAGAGTAGTAGTACCATTTTCAATGACAGTAAATAATACGATGGCAGTACACAGGAGAGTAGTAGTACCATTTTCAATGACAGTAAATAATACGATGGCAGTACACAGGAGAGTAGTAGTACCATTTTCAATGACAGTAAATAATACGATGGCAGTACACAGGAGAGTAGTACCATTTTCAATGACAGTAAATAATACGATGGCAGTACACAGGAGAGTAGTAGTACCATTTTCAATGACAGTAAATAATACGATGGCAGTGGTCAGTATCAAATACAAAAATACGGTTGTGATAGCAAAAGTCAGTGATGATAGTATATTTACCCATCGGCGACGGTAGTCTAGCTTCAGAGATGGGCTTAGGCAGGGAATCAGGGGTGATCTTCACACGAAAGCTGGTCTTGATGTATTCTCAGATGTAAATGTGTGAAGAAATGTGTGAGAGTGATACCTAAACACACTCTTGTCCCACTATATATACAGCCTAAGAAGCTACTGGAAATGTCTACACAGTGTCCCCTACAGTCCAGCGGCTCTGGAACATTCCACATGTTTCTATAACATACTATCACCGTCCGCGATATACCGGACTGACAGTTTTCACACCAACCTTGCATCTAAATATAGTAACTTACTGACGACTGCCTACACTAAATAGTACTATATTCCTGACGACTAACCACTGCCCAAATACAATGCTATGAGCGTCTATCGAATCTCTACACAAACAATGTAACAGTTACAATCATTGTTCAACAATAAAATACACTGCTATATAACAATGGCTAGAGGTGGTTTTACCCTATATAAGTGGCGTTGGCAAAATTCAAATTTCGAATTTGACCCCCGGCCTCTTTAACGACCAAGTGCGCCACCATCTCATCACATAAACCATTAGAACCAATTAGATAGCCCATGCGCCAACACATTTGATATAATTTCCACTTGCCAATACCATATAGATCAAAAGATATGTCTTGATGATTCTCATAACCCCTACTTTTTTGCATTTTTGCAACGAATTATTCGTGTGTGATCTGAACATATATTGCCATAATAATCAGAATTGCAACGATGACCCAGGGAGAGAACAGGCCCTGTGTTCATAAGCATTTTGTTTAAAGTCTTAACCAAGACGTCCTTGTTAGCACAGAGTTGATCAAGATCAATGCACTACCCATAGTTGTCATCAACCCATTTAAAGAACACACATACATCATTGTTATGCTTCAATCTGGGCCATGTTCCCTTCCTATGGCGTTCTGATGACGTTGACGACTGCTTGTATAGAATATACACTTATAGATCCTCTGTGTGTCTGAAACTGCTAAGTCCCTGCACTTGCTAAACGTCAGCATTTTCCCTCAACTTGTACTTTCCGTAGCCATACATTAAAACTCATTCGTTTAAAGGATGAACGATTTGGGTTTGAAATCCACATTTTATGGTTATATCATTGCGTGTCTGAGTCCTGAAGTGATACAGATCTCACACTTCCATGTAGGTGACACTCACCGATTTGATGCTGACAAATCTCCTATAATAACCAGAGCTATTTTGGGATTCGGGCCTTGGTGGACCCAATGGGCGCAACATTACAGAGATTTGCGGTGTCCAAGTTCTCCCCTACTGATGGAACGACTACAAAACGTCAACACCAGAGAAAAACTAGTCTCGTTAATCCACCGAAACAGGCGTGAAAGGTAAAATAGCGTTAAAATAGCGTGAAAGTTATATGAACGGATGGCTTGTAAACAAACCAATATGTTATAAATATACCAATATATTTGTACATAATGATGTTGATTATGGTGTAAGACATTTACAAATTCAGCGTTTTGATTGGTCCACGAGATCAAATGATTGACAGATGAACACAATTCTTTCCACCCTCCTCGTCCTTTTCTCAGTTCTAATGTCCCATGCAGACTAAACATTTTTCATTGATTTTGTCATTACCCAAGAATATATTCACATAATGTTAGCGGAAAACTAGAAATCAACATCTTAACAACAGTGCCTATTATCGTTCATTGATCTTATATTGTAGATTGTTGTAAAGGGTGTAACAACAGGTGTCTGAGATAGAAACCTGCAGTTAAAGGGCTTCTCTAGATCTACAGATCGTGCCGTGGCAACGTCAAGGAGAACATCAACTTGAATTATAGAATAACGTATCTGCATAAATATTTCAAGATGTTTAACAGGTAAGATGACAACAATCTCACAATTTCTTGCTAGTAGGTAATGTTATATCAATGTCCGTGTTTTTATCTGGTAGTCTCAGAATTAACTATCATTATCTGATATCTTTCTTCTCAACAGACTCGGATATTGTTGGGAGTACGTAATCTTGGTGAGTGAGTGAGTGAGTGAGTGAGTGTGTGAGTATGGTTTGACGCCGCTTCTAGCAATATTCCAGCAATATCACGGCGGGGGATACCAGAAATGGGCTGCACACATCGTACCCATGTCGGAATGGAACCCGGGTCTTCGGGGTGACGAGCGAACGCTTTAACCACTAGGCTACCCGACCACCCCTCGTAAGCTTGGTAATATATAGTGGTGTAACGATGCATCGAACTATCGATTGATTGCGATTGCTTGTAATATATATCGTGGTGCCGAGGTGTGTTGGTGGATATCTGAGGAATGAACGGATGCGGAGTAAGAGCATACTCCTCCCAAACAGTTTGTGAAAGGGAGTTCAGGATGAACATAATTAATTGTCCGTTTCTAAATTAAATGTCCTTTAAAGATTGAAAAATTTGTCTTTTCTTGTTGTCATTTCATTGTCCAATACTGATCTCTATATGATATATACACACTAGCATAATTTTGCATATCGAAAGTCAAGGATATATCTTCTGAAAGAAATGTTAATGTTACCGAAAACTTGAAATATTGGTATTTGTTCAAATTGCCTCCACCCACTACACCTAATTATTACCAGTGAGAGAGGTACAATTAATTAGGTGATCTGAACTTATTACTGAACTGGGTTTATCAAGTTAGGTTATGTGGGTATGGGAGAGCCCACCCCTGAATTCTTAAGGGGCGACCTGGGGGACTCCCAAACAAAACAAAAACAAAGATGAGCGTCATACCGGATTTAGTCACAGCATACTTTGTCATGTTTAACACGTTTGTATGAACAATGAGTTGCTACATACTTCCCAATCATATGATTAAACCTCATACACTCATATTACATGTTTTATATACGAGTCACCCATTTCCATGTTGATAAATGTCTTCAGAATAGATGTCTGTGCGGTATGAAAGGCAGGACATGAGGACGAAGAAAGTACTTATAATAATCATTTCACCGCTGAGAATTCAGTTTTTTGTTAATAATGGCTAGTTTGGTCATCGCCTCGCCACAAATTCCGCCCCCAAACAACCACACTACCCCCACCCCCTAACGGTTTTCTGTACGCAACAAGTATCAAGCGATCAAACCCGTTGTTGATCTGCCATCTGCTCTTGAATTTAGAGCTCCAATGAGTACCCGAGGCAGGGTAGGTTCATCAAAACTCGAGTCCGTCGACTTCATGTTTTGTGTTAATTGTTAATTTCAATACACAAGAACGTGAGACGTCTCATTAATTTCTGGAAACAATGTACGCTACATGAGCAGCTGGTGTATGCTAAAACAGCATTGATTGTATTTCTTCTCTTATGAAATTTGTTTGATGATGTCCTGTCATTTCAAATCACATATGAGCTTATGTATCACATATGTTACTAAGCACTGATGCAAACGGATTTCAATTGATTAACATTACAAACAAATGTCATACGAATGTCCGAGACATTTTAACGCACGTCAGTGTCATTGCCTTTCACGAGTAGACATGGTCAACATGTCCCAGAAAGTTACCATAATGAAAACCTAACACTCAGTTGGGTTTATTTGCGTTTTATTCCAGTGAAGTTACATGTTATTTGCGTTTTTTTGCTAGGAAAGGGAGGCTGAACCCTTATTCGTTAAGATTATTGCATGCGTTATCAATAGGTTCTTATTTAATAGGTACTCGAGCATGATTAGAGATTTTTAAGCCCCGGGTACTCGAATAATTTGGACCCGTTGAAGTTTTTGTTTGTTGTTTAATGCCAAATTCCGCAATATTCCAGCTGTATGACGTCGGCCTGTAAAGTCTGGAAACACATTCCAGTGATTGATATTGTGAGCAACGACCCAAACCGTCGGGGCACGATGACATGCAATCAGCTAAGTCATCGAACCTGACCAGCCAAGATGTTGCGCTGTCAACTGCGGTACCTCAAAGGAACTGTAGTACTCTAATACCCATTTTGCTCCATTTATACGCACTAGCCTGAAATACATTCACCTGAACCTGTGCCGGGGCGGGGTATGCTGGAGCGCCAACCGAAAGTTCCAGAAATATACTTCAAGATCGATACTTGGAATCAATTATTGTTGTCTTATATACACTCAAAAAATTAGTGGATCATGAGATATAAGTGTTATGATCGGTCGTTGGAAGGATCAGCTTTGAAAAACAACTGCCAGAGATTGAGAACGGTGTCGTAACCAAACTCCCAAACACACCCGAAACATTGCTATTACTTTGTGAAAGATCGTCATTAGCCATTAGCATTGTTGACGTTCACTGTCTATAGTACCACGTAAACCTCCACTCCTGCTTTAATGCAGTACTTGTGATGAGAATAGGAATGCCTCGTCTACAACGTGATGAACGCCAAAGAGCGCTATTTAAAATTAACAACAACAACAACAACAATAATAAATAATTAGAGCTACATTAACATTTTTTTATAAATTTCGATCTTGTGACATTTCCTGTATTGTTTGCCCATCAACTAAGTTTTGAGGCGACTAGCGGGATCGGGTGGTCAGGCTAGCTGATTTGGTTGATGCATTTCATCTTATCCCAATTGCGTGGATCGATGCTCATGATGTCAATCACTGGATTGTCTTGTCCAGACTGGATTATTAACAGACAGCCGTCATATAGCTGGAATAGTGCTGAGCTCGAGTGCGGCGTTAAACAACAAACAAAAGAAAACTATTGAACAACATGTGATCCAACGGGAATGCTGCTCTTATTTTTCCTTTTTGAAAGTAAGGAAAAATATCTCTTTTAAAAGACACATTTTCAGAAATTGATAAACATTAAAAGCACGATACGTTTAATACCATGTTTTCTTTTTTCCAGATTCAGGAGAAGACTTAAAAGGTGGAGGTACCATTCCATAGTTGCAACTATTGTAATTGTTGGCTACCTGCATGTACTATCTCCCGAAAGTTTATTAAGAGAAAAAAATTCTACAAAACATAAAATGGTTCATTCATCCAATACGAATTGGGAAAAGGCAATGCAGGGGTACATGGCGTCCACAAATAGAAGCATTTACCCTGACAGAAATCTCATATCTGATGAAGCAATATTGAAAGAGGATCTCAACAATTTGGGACGACAAAGATCTCGCGACCATAACCCGAGAAGACAGTGGACGCAGGCGGAAAACGGAAGTAAACCACTTTCTGCAGCACAGGCCGTTAAATTTGTGAGAGGAGGACACATGAACAGAAGGATACGTCCGTTCACTTACCATTCAGTGAAACGGGAGTACACGCCTCTTATCAACTGGGCATATTTGGTTACTAAGAGAAATAAGATATTGACGAAATATTCATTTTCATATGATATAATGCCTGAACGACTTGACAGTGAACGTCCATACCTGATCATAATGGTGTTATCGGTTGCAAAGCATCAGAGGACAGCAATCAGACAGACATACGGCAGCGTCCTCCATGGAAAAAGGTGGCCTGGAAGTAATATCATTTTGAATGCCAAGCTCATTTTTCTATTGGGGCGTACACGGTCTGAAGTAGGACAGGCTGTTCTTAGTGAAGAGAATGCCGCCCATGGAGATATTTTACAAGGAAACTTTATTGATACTTATCGAAATCTAACGCTGAAAGTGCTAATGGGATTAAATTACGTTTCAGTGTATTACCCTTCTACACAGTACGTCTTGAAGGCGGATGAGGACACATTCACGGATGTTGATATTCTTGTGAGGTTGCTGAAGAAACTGCGACCTGTAAACTCCGTACTTGGGCATATATACTTGTCCCCTCCTGTACTCAGGACTGGTAAATGGGCTGTTTCGGTATATGTCTATCCTTTCACACTCTACCCTCGTTATGCATCGGGAAACACTTATGTGATGTCAATGGATCTGGGGAGATGCGTTGTTCAAAATGCCAGTTTGTTCCCATACACTCCCATAGAAGATGCGTTTATCACTGGTATCATGTGTGTTGCATGTAATTGCAAGCAATATCACGTAAACGGCTTTACACATTGGTTTGAAAGAGCTCCTTTCCTTGGAGAATTTCTTAAGGGATCCAAGATATCAGCCAATAGAGTGACAGATAAACGCAAGTATAATATATGGAAAAAGATAACGGAAAAATATCGTTTTAAATTTGTGAGCTGAGGTGAAGTAAGGTGAGGTGAGGTGAGGTGGAATGTGGTATTTCGTCGAGTTGAAGATTATTGCACTTATATAGCGACGTGCATGCACGTGTGTGTGTGTGTATGTTTGTGGCTGCTTGTGCTAGTCCGGACTTATACCAATTTTATAGTGCTAGCCCAAAGAGACACCATGCCGCAAAGCTAACGTGAATTCTCCACTCAGACACAATATACAGACTCCGAGTCGACCATGTCTTGTTTTAGCTGCTTACCGCCGAGCCCCGGGCAGGGTAACAACAAATACCATCTTTTAACCTCTTTTGTTTTGACGCGGCCAGGCATCGAAACCCCGACTTTCCGCTCTCCGGGCAAAGGCTCGACTACTAGACCACAGAGGCGCCGGTATTGAATTTGTGTCTTAATAAAAATAGCGGATAGAAGACAACGACGTTTGCTAAGTAGACTGTCGAAACAGAGAATCTCAGTCAGTTTAAAAGCACAAAATACATCCAATTAGGTCATGTACATGTTTTGTAACAAAGGTGTGAGATTTTGTAACAAGGATGTGAGAAACGAATATAAGTCACATCTTCATATTCCTTCCTTCAAGTGTGCACAGATACATGTGGAGCGACAGCTGTAATAATGTTGTTTTGATCATTTTTAATACATGTTCGAGGAAAGGAAGACCACATGGAAACATTCGTTTTCAAGGATCCTGGTGTTATGTGTTCCAGCGGTGTGACCAACCAATTTTGGCGTGGTTGACAATTGACTCTGCTGTCGGCAGAGATTTCTTGTCAATATGGAAAGGGTTGTGTCATTTATTTTCAGAGCATTTACATTGAATTCTCTCTGGCAATAAGAACTTTGTTCAGTAGAGTGAAATACAAATGATGAAACACGAAATAGTTTTGTGCTTTGTGATTCAAAGGTTTGTTGTTTGTACCGAACCCAAGGGATTGCCTAAAAGTCGGGCCAAGAAAAGTCGGGCCGGGCCGGGCCAGCGGGTAATACTAAAAATGGATTGCAGAATAATAAAACGAAACGCGCATATCTAGGCAGATCTCAAATGTCCACAAACGTATAGTTTTGCTCATTTAATTGAGTTTGAATAAAAATGCACCTTCAACAATGTAATCAACTGATGATTATGACTACATACCGTGAGTCTCGTAGAAAAATCAGTGTCTTGACTGTGTGTATTCTTTGATTAGAATGCTTCTCACCGACCTTGGCGTGTAGGGGTGTGATGTCCTGGGCAGGAAACGACAGTGTTTTGACTACTCTTCTTTCATTAATTAACGTGTTGGGCATCCCTTATTAACCTTTACTAATTCGTGTTAAACCAACACAGGATGTTTTCTGGAAGTGGATATTCGCGAATGTCAAAGGACTGACACGACACGTGTTAATAACTGTCCAAGCACTTCTATATTCCTAACATTCTTTATATCTAAAGATTAGTATTATATCTAATTATATACCACTTTATTGTCTCATATTTCAGTAGTTAAAGAAAACACAGAGCTCAAAGTGAAGCCTTTTTCAATCTACATTCTCAACATAGTCTCTATCAGAAGTGTTTGGCTTGTGTTGGGTCCGACTTGGCCCGGGTTGTCAAAATGCACTTTAAACACACAAATGCATCATCAAATGTCTTTAAATATATGGACTAGCATTATATCTACCTATCTACAACTTTATAGTGTCTCAGTTCGCTGTATTTAAAGAAAACAAGGTGCTCAAAGTGAAGCCCTTTTCCCGCTACATCCTAGACATAGTCTCTATCAGAAGTGTTTGGCTTGTGTTAGGTCCGACTTAGTCCGGGCTGTCAAAATCTTCTATAAACACAAAAATCTATCTTCAAATGTGTTAAGATCTACAGATTAGTATTTTATCTACATATATACCACTTTATAATGTCACAGTAAATCGTATTTAAAGAAAACTGGTCCGTTAAAGTCAAACACTTTTCCTGTATTTTCTTAAGAAAATCTCTATCAGAAGTGTTGGGTCCGACTTGGCCAGGGCTGTCAAAATCAACTTTAAACACACAAATGTTTCATCAAATGTGTTTACATCTATAGACTAGCATTATACCTACCTATATACCACTTTATAGTGTCTCAAGTCGCTGTATTAAAGGAAACATGGTTCTCAAAGTGAAGCCCTTTTCCCTCTACATTCTCAACATAGTCTCTATCAAAAGTGTTTGGCTTGTGTTGGGTCCGACTTGGCCCGGGCTGTCAAAATAAACTTTAAACACATAGATGTATCATCAAATGTGTTTTATATCTATAGATTAGTATTTTATCTCCTATATACCACTTTATAATGTTTCAGTACATCGTATATAAAGAAAACTGGTCCGTTAAAGTGAAACACTTTTACTGTATTTTCTTAAGAAAATCTCTGTCAGAAGTGTTGGGTCCGACTTGGCCCGGGCTGTCAAAATCAACTTAAACCTCACAGATGTATATTCAAATGTATTCACATCTATAAACGAGTTTAATATCTACCTATATACCACTTTAAAGAGTCTCCGTTCGCTGTATTTAAAGAAAAAAAGGTGCTCAAAGTGAAGCCTTTTTCACTCTACATTCTCAACATAGTCTCTATCAAAAGTGTTTGGCTTGTGTTGGGTCTTGACTTCTGCATAGTTTTATTTTTAAAACTATAATTTATATTAATTTTTTAGGTTACTTGTCTTGGTTAATTGCGTGTCATTTTACCACGACGGCTTGGTGCATTCTAACGCCAACCACTACTCACCAAACTGCGCTTACTGAGGACTGAATAAATGAGACATTTACACGTCCGTAATGGTATATTGATCTGGCGATGAAATTGAAAGACGATAGTTCATCGTAATAGCGTATTGTGCACAGGAAGGCGAACGTCAATATTTTCGATGTTTGGCTCATGTTCTTGAAGTTACGATTGTTAAAAGACCGGTGCAACACATGTGCGCCCGAAAGTTAACAAGAGTTTGCCACTAACGTGGCTATATCCCCCGCCCCTGTTGCAGAATTTATGACATAATTAAGTCTAAACAAACCCTAACATTTTTTAACCGAGGTGGAACTTGTCATGGAAATTGTGAAAAAAGAAGAGTTTGGAACCTAAGTCCATCTTGTTGCCATGGAAACGTAAAAAATAAAAATTTCTAAAATTTCTAAATAGCAAAAGGCACCAGTTCAGCATGTACCTGACAAACCTGCAAAGTGTCATGAAAAAATATTGAACGGTTTATGAGTTATGCTCCGGAAACGAACCCTACACTCACAGAACCTAAGTCCATCTTGTTGCCATGGAAACGTAAAAAATATAAAAAAAATTAAATTTCTAAATAGCAAAAGGCACAAGTTCGGCATGTACTTGACAGACCTGCAACGTTTCATGAAAAAATATTGAACGGTTTCTGAGTTACGGACGGACGGACGGAGCCCGTTTCTATATCTATCTATATAATTAAAAATGAGTCATTGAGTCAAATAACAGTAGGTCAAACCAGCGAGAGTTCTGTCTTCCGTGTGAATATTGACCCCACAGTGAACATCATCTGCACGGTGCCTGAGTTAATAAAGAAACGCAGCCCCTCGTGGTTTATTCTCCCTGTTGTGTTTTATTGTACGATAAACAACGACAACGAGTCGTTTATATCTTATATGAGATATAAACATATGTACAGCCTCTTAAGGATGTCAAAATAAATGTAAATGCTTTAAAAGAATTTACCCGTATTTAAATAATGATGTCTCCCTGAATACAATCTGACCAATGCAATGTCGGACAAGGACATTTTATGAAAAGGTTGAAAAAGTTTGGTATTTCCCGGATATTCTCACAATTGTCCCGTCGATTATCTGTACCTTTTCTTCCAATACCGATTGTCATATCTCTTTACTTTTGCTATCGTTCGAGCATTGCGTTTATCTACGTTGCCCAGCTTCATCTATGGGAACAACTCACAAGACACTTCTCTATAAAAAGTATCGTCGTCCAATTTATGACGTCATTAAGTTCGAATCTCCAGAAATGACGTCATGATAGAACACTGTTTTATCGTGAAATAAACCACGTTCGCTCTTCATTGTTCTTTCCGATTTATTGCGTATCTATCTGATATATTTGAATATTGACCCTATATTTATGCATTTTAATGATTATGAAACTGAATGCCGTAACACTGACTTTACAGGAGCTGACATTAATTATGATGAAAATGTAAACAATGACGAGAAATTTGCTAATACTAGTGACATTGAATGTCTTAACATCACTGACACTGAATGTGTCCATACACTTACAGATACGGCCCTGATTGCTACTGAAGAGGAATCGGTCTACTTTGTATACTTATCAAAATGATAACACTAATGTCTGTTTGTTGAACGCCGCACTCAGCAATATTCCAGCTATATGACGGTGGTCTGAAAATAATCGAGTCTGGATCAGACAATCCAGTGATTGATATCATGAGCATCGATCCACGCAATTGGGCTCGATGACATGCATCAACCAAGTCAGCGAGCCTGACCACCCGAGTCCGTTAGTCGCTTCTAACGACAAGTATAGTCACCTTTCACGGCAAGTATGGGTTGCTGAAGATCTATTCTACCCCGGATCTTCGCGGGTGGAATGCATACCACGTGATTGATGTGCCAAATATGGAAGTGGTACCACAGCATATTAGACTTACATTAATAATCGAAATTGCTCATAAATGGACACGAACGTGGTTAAAGGTAACTGAAGCATTCCTAAAATGACTTAACTCTGCATTCTTCTTTTTTTACTGTAGTCTTAATTAAGAGAGATCTGCAAAAATGGCTTCCTGTAACCTTCATTCGTGCATTATTATACCCAGTTATTTTGATAATTCATTTTGATAATTCATTTTGATAATTCTTTTGATAATTCATTTTGATAATTCATTTTGATAATTCATTTTGATAATTCATAGACCCGTGAAGATTCCGGGTTAGAATAGGTGTTCAGCAACCCATACTTGCCGTAAAAGGCGACTATACTTGTCGTAAAAGGCGACTAACGGGATCGGGTGGTCAGGCTCGCTGACTTGGTTGATAC